CTTAAAACCATATATATATATAATCCGAACTAATAAAAGATATTCTGTATAGTGCATAGTTACTAGAAAATATTTTTAAAATTATAATTTTATAATTACCAAGTTCTATTATCCCAATCATTACCAAGAAAAATATCATTGTAGTTCCGCCCTTCTGTTGCGATTTTGAAAAGCAATTTGAAAGTTCTAAAATTTTACAACTTTACATGAGCATTTAAATATCTTAAAAGCGTGAAACAGAAAGATTATGCTTGAAAGATTATACGGAAAGATACTTAAAAACAGAAAGATTATACTTGAAATCATTTGTTTGCTTTACCGCAGTTCTTTCTTATCTCGTATTTTATTATGCGATTTCAAGTAGAAAGTTAAATATTTTACAAGGCTGTCCAGCTGATTTAATAAGAGGGCTAACCACGGATTAATAACTAATACAATAAAAAAAAAATTTAGAATGAATTGCGCTATAAGTAATGTCTATGAAACTTCAAAAAGAAAGAACTTTCAATTAATGTAACATTATTTAAAAAATGGTACGTGAATTCTAAAGGAAATGCAATGAATGAAATACGAAGTTCTTCGATAAATTCCATCAAGAAAAATTTGTTTAGAGCTGAAGTCGCAATTCTTCAACAATAATTCAGCAATACTTCAGCGTCGCAATAAAATTCTAAATTTGATCTGCTTGGCAAACTTATATAAAATGGCCGTGCATTTAGGAACATTCAACTGAATGCAAAAAACCTCATGGATTATGAAATATATGTATTAATGTACTTCTTAGCTTTGCCCTAATTAATACGTTAAAATAAACGTATTAATTGTATGTCAAATAATATAATATCAATCTGCTTCGCTCCTGAGAAAAAAACACAATTTATGCACATTTGCATTTACTGGTAATGAAAACGCAATAAGATGATAGAATTTTAACAATCATTTGCTTAAAAAAAAGAATGAAATATGAAGTGGATTTTATTGCATAAAATAGTACTACAATCTTATATTTAAATATGAAGTTAAAAGTCATCGTCATTATGAACGAAATTTATCGATATTTTAAATTTTATACTAATCATGTATTTAACTATTTTGTTAACGTCACCATTAGTTACGTAAAGTAAATAAATGAAATATTTATCAAACTGTATTGAAAATTTCACTGTAATCATACATTTAAATGTAAGGTTAAAAGTCACCTTCGTTCATAAAAGTCACCTTCATTCTTCAAGTAAAGAAAATAAATATTAATCAAATTTTTCTTACATAAAATTGTGTTCTAATTATACATTTAAGTATTATATGAAACAGCTTTTTTTAATTTAACAATAATTTTATAAAATTATGGAATTTAAAAAAATAAAACAAGTAATTGTAAAGTAGTTATTTTTGTCTCATATCTTAAAAAACGAGTGAACGATGCATTTTCTATTAATTAACCATATTCATATAGTTTCACCAGCAAGAATAACATTATATTATATCAAAAATAAATTTTAGTGCATATTTATCTTTATCTACTTTTATAGTTACCTTTTTTTATAAAAATACTAGGATTAAAAAAGTGAACAGACTTTTTTTTAAATTTCCTTTTAATTAATATTATTCCTAAATTTCCGTGACAAGAAAATCCTTATCTTGCAATAAAAATGGATTTTGGTAAATAAATAAACAAGGCGACCATTTTTATACACGAATTTATGTATTTTTGATATCATAAACATTTCAAAAATGAAAATTTAATCAAATATGAATTTTATCCATCACGCAAAAAAAATTTTACCATACATTGTAAAAAATTTCTAATCAGATTTCGATAAAAAAAATACTAGCATCCTGAGAGCAGCGTCTGTAAAATACATTTTACCGTGAAATCCATTTCTAAAGTATAATTTTATTCCACACTTTTTACAGCACTGATAACAAGTTTTCTGTAAAAATTATAAAAATAATTTTGAAACAGCATAATTGTTTTTACTTAGATTAAAAAGAAATCAGTTACTTTTTACATCGCAAAAAGTACCATTTGATGGCAAATACGCCCATATCCAAAGTAAAAAAATTTAAAGAATTTTTACATCTTCAGTTAAAAAGTTGTTGTTTTCTTATCTTATTTTATGAACTGTTTTATATTTTAAGAAATTTTCCAATAGAGCTTAAAATTAAAATTTTCATAAGGATTGTTTTACATTTTATTTTATGAGCAGTTTCATTTAAAATAGGCTTATTTCAAAAACTTAGGTGGTTTCTCCATGCGATAAATCGTTCTTAAAATGTCATATAAATATTTACTTCATTCGTTTTTAATTTTCAAAAATGCCAAAAATATATGTTTCAAAATATTCATTCAAATTTAATGAATTCGAAGAAAGATATTGAATTAAATTAGAATTTTATGTTGACTAACCAGGTTGGAACTTCATATATTGATGATTAACGTCAAGTAATTGAAGAATTTCTCAATCCCTGCTAATTATTGCTCTGATTTTCACAAGTGAATTTTTTTTTTAGTCTCGATTCATATTGTAACATTGTAAATACTCAAAAACGTGTTTTTCTCTTTTCGCAGAATAACAACAGTAAATACTCAAAAATTTATCGTTCTCTAGTCATATTGTAACAATTTTCTACACAAATTAGCTATAAAACAAGGTTTCTCAAAATTGAGCAAAAATGTTTTAAAAATAGCTCCAAAACAAATATAGTCGAATTCTGAAACCACATGCATTCATTATTGAGTATAATGAAGTAAAAATTGAAACAGCGTATACTCATTTTGGAGCAAAATGTATAGTCCTAAAATTAATGAGAGGAAGGAGGGGAGAAATGTGTTAGAAAGGTGTTCGTTGGCTGGTAACGGGATTCGAACCAAGGACCTCCTAGTTCGAAGTTGGATGCTCTGACCATAGTTGTACACCCCAGTCCAGCGAGGGTTATACACCGAAGAGCCATTACATTATGACCACCCTGCTAATAACATGTAGGACCACCTTTAGCCCTCAAAACTGCTAGCACCCGCCGTGGCATTGATTCCACAAGGTGCTGATAGGTAGTCTGAGATATCTGGTACCAAGCGCTCATCAACTGGTCTTGCAATTCCCTCACATTGTGAGGGGATAGCGTGACAGTACGAATTTGGTTTTCCAAGTAGGACCACGAATTTTCTATTGGATTAAAGTCAGGTGAATTTGGGGGACAAGACATGACTTAAAAGTCACTGGAATGTTCCTCGAACCAATCCATGACGATTCGACCCTTATGACGTGGTGCATTATCCTGTTGGTAAACACCATCCCCAGCAGGAAAAACTGTTGCCATGAATGGGTGAACCTGGTCTGTAACTATGATCAAGTAGCTTACAGACGTCAGGGATTGTTCTATGAGGATTATGGGTCCTAATGTGCCCCATGAAAACATTGTTCCTGGGCGAGAAGCCATGAAAACCTGGGCGAGCCCATTGTTATAGATGGAGAGTGGTGAACATTCCATTTGCTTAAAAGTTTTTAAGGTATAGCGAATAGATTGAAAAGTTAAACTTAAACTTCCGATCATCTGACTAAGCTATTGAAACCTTTTTTTAAATAATTTCAGCCCTTTTTAAACTATTGAAATTAAAATTTAGTGTCTCAAGTTTTGTCATTGTGGTGGTTACTTTGTCTAACTTTCTTACTCTCCGTGGACTGGAGTGTACAACTATGATAGTTACAGTATCCAACTTAAAACCTGAAGATCCTTGGTTTGAATACAACGGACATCGTTCTCACATAATTTCACTTCGACAACATTTTTGAGACTATGTATTTTGCTCAAAAATGAATATAATATATTATTTCAATTTTCCTGTCAATAAACTCAATAATGAATACGTGGGGTTTTCGAATACAACTATAGTTGCTATTTTGACCAATTTTTTCTGAATTTTGAGGGACCTTTTTTTACATATTTGTAACAGTTATAAATACCTGAAAAATTATCATTCTCTGTTCATATTGTAACAGTACTCAATTGATATTGTAACAGTTGTTAATACTCAAAAATTTGTCATTCTCTATTCATATCGTAGCAGTTGTAAATATTCAAAAATGAGACACAATGCAAAATTTTCATAATTTCAGAAATCATTTTGTATTGAGTGAGTATTTTTATTCATCATTTACTTAAAATAATTGAGCAAGTTAGGCAAACTAATAAAAGTATTTAAAGTATTGAGTTTAAAAAGGAAACTAAATCTTTCTAAAATTGAAATATTTTTATAAATCTAAGTAAAACATTTGTAGAAATATTCCTACAACCTATTTTTAGTGTGAGAAGTATGAGTGGTCAGGGAAGTAACATATTTTAGCATGTGCATGTTTTCACACAAAATATTTGATCTAATTTTTTATTTTATTTTATGCAATTCTTCAACAAATGAGGCAATTTACAAGCATGATACATTAAAAAATATAAATAATTATTTAGCTAATTTAAAGTTAATAAATGTTTGAAATATATTTGTAAAGTTCTTCATCTATTCTGAAATTTGCTTCTGATAAGTTTTTCTAATCTGATTAAGGGTGATTCAAACGTCAGTGACACAAGAACAGAAAGCGCATATGTTACAATCAGCAAACCCAAAAACATCAGGATCTGAAAAAATGCTGCAATTAGTTTATTGAAAGTATTATTATACATTAATCATATTAGTTTTAGTTACATTAAATATATTATCTATTGATTATATTATTTTATTTTATATTACTTATATAATATTATTAGTAATAATATTACTAATATTATTATTAATATTAATATTACTAAATTTTAGTGAAGAAATCAATTTAAAGTGCATATCAAAGAGAATTAAAATTTCCTCGATTTTATTGTTTAGAACATTGCTTAAGAAAAATATGTAACAAAAGAAACTGTAAAAAAACAGTAGTTAATAAATGGTCAATCGCCATAACATGACGAAAAGACCTGTTCTCGTCCAATCACCGAAGCCTATACCTCACCAAGCGCTGTCAGTACTTGGGTCAATGACTAGGAAGGGTGACCATTTTGGAATATTGCGTGACGTTGGAATACCTTTCAAACCGCGAAGGCTCAGTGGTTAAGGCCTGTCACTGTGAAGAACTGCGGTTCGATCCTCAGTGGCGGCTTGAAGCACGTGCAGCTTGCGATCAATGGGTATCAGCTTGTCTGGGAAGTAAATGTGGCTTGTACTTAGTGCGGCCAACATTGCCACAATCATGCCATTAGTCTCGAATTTGTGGATCCTAAATCGCCATGATCCCCGTGGCTCACGATGGGCTGTTGCGGGAAAGCTTCACTTTTAGTTAATAAAATGTATTTTAATAGGTATTAAAAATATTTCTCTAAATTACAGAATATTTAATATATAAAAATAATTTTATAGTTTATATTTTTAGAAGATATGTAGACCGAAGAGTCATTACATTATGAGCACCCTCCATCTATAACAATGGGCTCGCCCAAGTTTTCATGGTTTCTCGCCGAGGAACAATGTTTTCATGGGACACATTAGGACCCATTATCCTCATAGAACAATCCCTGACGTCTGTAAGCTACTTGAACATAGTTGCAGATCAGGTTCACCCATTCATGGCAACAGTTTTTCCTGCGGAGGATGGTGTTTACCAACAGGATAATGCACCATGTCATAAGGATCGAATCGTCGAGGAACATTCCAGTGACTTTCAAGTCATGTCTTGGCCCCCAAATTCACCTGACCTTAATCCAATAGAGCATTTGTGGTTCTACTTAGAAAACCAAATTCGTGCTTCCACGCTACCCCCTCGCAATGTAAGGGAATTGCAGGACCAGTTGGCGAGCGCTTGGTACCAGATTCCTCAGACTACCTATCAGCACCTTGTGCAATCAATGCCACGGCGGGTGCTAGCAGTTTTGAGGGCTAAAGGTGGTCCTACATGTTATTAGCAGGGTGGTCATAATGTAATGACTCTTCAGTGTATATGCAATGTTCCATGTTCACCACATTAAGTGTTCTTTTCTTAATTCGTCTAATAAAATCTGATATCAACATCGGGGTTCGCAAATTAATATTTAAGCAAAGTAAAACAAACCTGTTGAATCAATATTGAGGAGGACAACTAACATCACAAAACATCAAAACCTGCTCTGATTTCAGTGGTATCCAGGGATTTTTTTGCTAATTTTTACATACACATTTTTGCTTCCGAGAACACCAATGTTGGCTTACCATCAAATTATTTACAATCACAATTAAGTGTGTGTTAACTTGAGTTTATTGTTGTCTTTGACGCTGAACAAAAATTTACTGTTAATGTATATATTTTTTTAACTGAGTAATAAGTATAATAATATTTTAATATTTAAATACCTGTGTACTGTATTCAATGTTGACGTATGCCTGTTTAGGCAGAGGGTGTGCGATTGTTCTTGTTTTCCAGTGGCGCCATCTATGCCCAAGAATTCGACTAATGCCACACCATACGTCACGTCCGCTTATAGGGCGAACCCATTCATACATCCATTCATTCATCCACAGATCGTAATTTTGACCAAAATAAGATAACGATCGATCTCCAATCCAGTACCCCCAGAGGTATTGATTTATTATGGGAACATGGAGGACTTCTGCGACTCGACAGATTTAACGTGCATCAGTCACTTTACTTCGGCCGGCAGGGTTCGAACCCACGAACTCTCGGACATGGGCCCAGTGCCCTACCAACCAGGCTATCTCGGCCCACTGTATTCGATCATTTTATAATATATAATTTCTATCCGCTTCTATTCTGTTAAGCCTAATTTGAATTTGGTTTAATATTTTCCGTATACTATGTGTTGCTTTGATTTAAAAATTAATTTTATTTTAAGAATTAGTGTGGCGCTTCCTAAACTAACTATTCCTATTTTAAATTGTATAGTAAAAATAACTTCACTGACTCTGATGTGTATAATTCCTTAATTTCATTAAACATTTTGCTGTTTAACGACAGCAAAAAAGTGTGGCAAAATTACTTTACACGAAGTAGTGTAGAGGAACATTATTGGCCCTTCACCACAGTACTCTTGGTGTAAAGTAGCTGCCTCTATTTTTATTGTTAAGATACACGAAAACTTTTTACAGTGTGTAAAAATGTTTGTGTGTTTTCCCACCTAAAAATGGCTGCAACTACTTGACATCAAAGTAGTAAAGTGAAACACCAGAGATCATATAGCCTAGAGAAGAACTTACTTAGCAATTCGTCTGGGCCCGTGGCGGTGACTATGACAACGACGTATAACTATTTCAAATAGGGGTGTGGGGTCATTGTTCAGGATAGATTTTTGCACGGGTAGGCGAAAGAAAGTGACTCTTTTTCTTCGATCTACTGTGTTAGCCGTGGAGTGAATCGAAGCTACCCTCCCAGAAATGAGCTATTCTTGTTTCCATAGCAGCAGACGGCCTCAGACTTTGAGGCGGGGAAAGTTCTTACGGTATAGTTCGTTCACCAGAAGTTGAGACTTGGCTCCACCTCCTAGGACGCAGAGTTCATTTCAGCGCGGAAGTTAGAAGAGAAACATCTCCGTTGTTGAAATTGAGACAACCCTTAATTTGCGCCAAACACAAAAAGTGAATTCTTTTTCAGTCACTTACTTTGCTTTATCATCTGTTATTATACCTTTTGTTACACTTGCTAATTAAATATAGTTAAATTTAAAAACTGCTGTTCTCCTAGCGAAATGTCTCATAAAGGACAAACTATTCACTCAAAATAAAGAAATATCATAAAAAAAGAGTGCAAAATATCAAACGATCGCCAAATAGCAACATTGTTCAGGATTGCTCACAACCTTCTCCCAAAAATAGCGAAATAGTATCGTCGTATACCACGTGATGAAGGCGGAGCCAAGTGCCAACTCCTGGTGAACGAGCTATAGACAAACTACAATCATAGTGTGGGAGAGGCTCACATCTTATTTTTAAAAACTTTTTGTTCGCCAATTTTAAATTTTATGCAGTGAGTTACTAGCGTAGTGAAACATAAAGAATTTTTTTTTCTGCGCTTTTTGGCGTAAAGCAGTTGCCACATTTTTTGCTATTCAGCAACACTAAAAATTATAATTGCAGTAAGATATGATATACATAAGAGTCAGTAAAGTTACTTTTACTATTCAGTAAAAAGTAAAAATCATATAACTTTAGGATGAATCTATGCACTTGTTCTAAAAATAAAATTAGTTTGTCAATCAAGCATACACACATCACCGAGAGAATAATGAAATGGCGACTAGGCTAGATAAAATTCGAATTAGGCTTAACAGAAAAAAAATAGAAATTAAATGGTATAAAATTACTTAATGTAATTGACAGATATTTAAAAATTAAAATATAATTATCCCTGTCACTCAACTAAAACACTCAAAGATTTTGAAACAGAGAACTTTTGTTTATGTGGATGCTTCGCAGCATGACAGAGAATAAGAAATTTAGGCCTTCTCGTACTCGATTGTTAACAATCTACTGGCAATCCAGGTAGACGGTGAAAAATTCAGTTAACATATTATTTTAAACTAGGTAATAGGTTTAGGTCTTAGAACAAAGAGATTGAAGAATTGGGATATTTAAATGCAGTTGTGTTTTAGATCAGACTTGGTTATCATTGAAGTTTAAGTGTTGCACAAGGTAATTTTGAATGGTGACCAACCTTTTTTCTAAAAGCGAATAGTACACTAACAGTTCGACTAAAAAATGGGATTCGATTTTTTTACTAAGTTTTGTTCTTAGTGAGAAATTTTCTGTGAATACATTTATAATGTAATAAGAATTTTATCGTTTCTAAGATGATCCTCATATTGTTAAAATTTTACTAGATACTTATCAGATACTACTAAACAAAAAACTTTTTGTCACGTATGCATGATGCATTTATGATTTAACAGATTAATGTGCATGATTAGAGTCACATAAATGATGCAGATTTTTCCTAATACGTTTATCAAATAGGCCCATTTCAAATTAACATTTCAGTTTTAAAACGTTTTAACTTTATCTCAAAATATTTATGATAAAAATATTTTTCAATCTCTTTTAAGTCCTTGAATTACGAATTACAATTTGTGTCTTTTTCATTTATGTTTTACATTAACATGCTGAACTGGAAAAATAATATAATTGCATTTCAAAATTGTCATATTATTTAGATTCAGATCAAGCAACAAGGTAAATATTTGAAGAGCTATTAATTGCTTTTTTCACAAAAAAACATGGTAAAAATAAATGAAAAAATTGCCATTTAATATGTTGACTTCTATCTCCGTGTAACATCTTTAAACGGGTTTAGCGCAGAACTTTTTAGGAGCTTTAATTTTATTAAAGAATTATTCAATTATATTAATAAAAAAATCCATTATAATTTGTACTTACAATTGTTTGATGAGTAAAGACTATAGTAGTTTTCCGCGAGAAAATATAAAGAGAAATCACAATCACATGTATCAGATATGCGCAGTAAGTCAATCGACTCAAAGGGATGAATAGCTTATAAGACAAAATTTTATCCACAACACCTGAAAGTACAATTTTATATTAAATAAGTATTGATGAAAATGTTTAGTTCATTTTATTTTGTCCTCTCTGTTGCGCATTAAATAAAACTTATTGATAACCTTTGTTTTTGCCTTTTTTCTTTTTGTCCCTTTTGTATCGATTTTATTGTACTACAGTCAAACCCCGCTATAGTGAACACGGCTTATAGTGAACTCTCAGATATAGTGAACGAAATGCTCGGTCCCGTGCCTGGCTATACACGTATAATGTTATTTTTAGTGGATATAGTGAACCAAAAAAGTGAGGAAGTTGGATATAATGAACTTTTTTCTATCTTCGACTGATTCCCCCCCCCCATTTTCTTTGTAATAATTTTGAAATTTCTACTTCAAAATAAATACATATACCGATTTTTAAAACCATCTTTAGAAACTACTTTCATGTGCTCGAATGGCAGGTTAGACAGGTTTAAAAAGCAGAATAACAGAAATTCAGAAAAAATTATCTGAGAGTCGGGAAGTGTTTCCATATCTGATGTTGAGGATTGCTCATCAGCTAAAGATTACTAATTTTTATTTGTACGCAAGACGAAGAGTGATGAAAAATAACACATTTTTTGCTACTACATAATATTTTTCAGTCATTTATATGAATA